GCATTCAGGCGTCGGTGGTGAGACGGCATTTGTACGCTTCCGCCGATTCCTTGAAAGAAGGGCGTGCATGCTCCCGTCACTGGAGCACCCATAAAGATACTCCTCAGCTCATGGCGCATGCTCTAAAATCTGTCCAAAAAACCGCGTCGATGGCGTGTCGAACTTTTTCTCAGCTGCCGGCTGTGCTATCAGGTTCGAAGTTGATAATCATCGGGCTTGGTGAAAGCGGGTGGGGGAGGTGACGCAGAACTGGTAGCTCCGATACCTAGCTGTATAGATGCGTGTAATATTCAGATCCAGTCTCTGTATGTTTTGGTGATCATCGGGGGCGTACCAGAACAACAGGTGCTTCGATTGATGGTTTTCAGAACATCACAAGAGGCGTCTACGCGCTGTGGCCAGCACAAGTGCCACCGTGCGCTCAATTGCAGCAGTTGCGGGGAAGGCATCGCCTTTCCTTTCGTAATTCAACTAGTTTGTGTCAGAAATCAGTAAACCACACACCGCGACTGGCTCGCTCTCGGAGGGAAGGAACATACCAAAAGCTAAAGACACCTGCGCAAGCAAAAACAGGAACAAAATCATCACAAAGGCAAAGAAAAACAGCGCATGCTCGCGCAACCAAAGAATCATCATTCAGCTCGTTTCCAGGGATACCCAGACAGTAGTATTTCAGACAACGCCCCACAAAAACTCGCGTCTTTTCCAGCAGCCTTTCCGAAAGCCAGTAACAACGAAAGATTCAAGGGCCCCAATTTTTTCCCCTTAAAAATGGACGTTACTATTCGTCGCCATCAGCTTTCACACCATCAACTTCCAGCGCACAGGGTAGTTAGTATACTCACCCAGGTGGGGTTTCACGTCCCAGGAGTTTCTTAAAAAACTTCTTGACATCGTAGACGACATTTCCCAGGAGCCAGGTGGCGGTTGCAATGGCGCGGCAGATGGCATCAGCGATCGCACTCAAGATCCTGCGAGCGCGGGAGACGCGGGGAGTAGAAGCGGTCCTAGGCAAGTGCTCAACCCTCTGCGGCGTAAAGGGGGGGCCGGGACCGGCGTTGAGATACTGCGGATAGGCGGGGATCGGGCGGTTCGGGCCGCCAGGGGGGGCGTTAAGAGGCGCCGTGTTAGACATCTTCTCTCGTTAGGATTAATTAGTGAATGTAGAGCAGCGGATTACCTTGTAGATTAGCTGTGAGATGTCTTCGGGGTAAGAATGTGATGGATACTGGTGATGTTAGACAGTAACGCACGCCAGCAAGCAACAAAGAAGACTTGTGACAGACGATGTAGGTTGAGAGTGTGAGGAGGCGAAGTAGTGGTGGTAAAGGGGGGCGGTGATGGGGTGGGGGTTTCTGCGTGCGATGATCATCGATTTCGCACACACTTGAGGGTAGTGATATTCGCCGCACGAAAGCATCAGAGGCTAAACATGCGTCACAAACAGCTTTCAAAACACAAGAGAAATAGGCTGAGCTTCGAGAAGGACAATCATATCATGGCTTCATTTCAGCCCGAAAAAAATCGACCCGCTGTAAAGAAATGTGCTTAAAACAACGCTATAAAATGATTGATCCACGCCTTCTCAAACTTCCAGTCTCAAAGTGCAAACCATGGTTTCCTTGCCCAATGCACGAAGCACCAGCCAGAACTCCAGACCCCAAGCCATCATCTTCCTCGAGTAGTTCCTCCCACTCATTGTTCCTAATAGCTGACCTAAAATGCCAGGGGCTACACAAAGCTGTCTGAAGTGGCGACGGTCGGGTTGTCTGGGCTGCGATTGATAGAACCCAGGTTTGGCACTGCAACTAATAATAGTTGGTAAACATCGAATACCGCTCGTCACAATGGGAAAGGTCAAAAAAGAGGCCGCTCAAATCTTTACGGCGTGAATTTCAATCGAGGCAGCGACGAGTGGGGGCGGATGGCACTGCAATCGGCGGAGCAAAGACATTTCTGGTCTGCACCTCGATTGAAATTGTGCGATTTGTATTCAGCACCGTTAAACATTGCCAGAGAAGTCCGCTACAGCCCAGCCGTTTCTTTTTTAGCAGTTCAATTAGCCCAATCGCAGCTCAACAGGCTGACTGTCTATTTGGATCACTGCAAGTTCAGCGCTAATGACCAGGCAGCTTTTTCTTCGTGGTCACCCACCGGATTAGCCAGTAAATACCAACCAGAGCCAGCCCCACAAAAGCCACCAGTACGAGCAGGTTTCTCCTACGGATTTTCATACGGGGCTCCCTCGGTGGGTCCATTTCAAAAGCCTGAAGCCTCATATTGGTGGCTCGGAAAGGGGGTGTCACAGCGGCTGGTCCAGGGTGGGACTGTGTTGCAGTAAGCCGTGGCAAGGTTTCTGCCCTCAAATCGCCCCGAGAAGGCTGAGATGGTAACTGTGGGCTTCGGGCCAATGCAGTTCCCCCAAAGTCCACCGCTTCCACATCTACGATATCGTGAATGATGATTCCGCCCAGGGGTTGAAGGACGACGTCCAATGACCCAATGACGCCGATGCAGTGCCCATTTTCGTCCGGCTCGGGAACAACAACAAAGACTCCGGTGATCTGCTTCCCGTCAGATTTTTCTGTAACGGTTTGCTGGGCAATGATCGCTACCATGTTCTCGTCGTATTCGGATTCCATGGTGTATTGGTTTGCGTCGTGCGCAGTGATGGGCTCTGGAGTGGTTGACATAGAGTACGCAGACTGTCAAGGAAGGATAGAAAAGCGTCGACAGGTATACGACTTCGCAGTCGGTGAGGCAAATTAGGGCAAACCCTACCGATGCGTAATGCCAAGGCTGGCCCAGTGCAACCCTCAGAACTTTTGAAACCTAGCGACCAGCAGCAAAAAAACCACATACCCGTCGACAAGTCCGCCAAGATGACGATTCCTGACAAGGAAGTGGGTGCCCCTTTTGTTTTTCTTTCGAAAGACCGCGATTAACCTCTGAAACAGCCGCAGAGAGGGCTCGCGACCCTCATAATTCTCACTCTTGGTCTGGGTCTCCTTTGTCTCTGTATCAGGGTGTTCCTCAGCTTTATCCTGGCCAAGACTGACCGTGAGCAGCGCAAGTATGCTTCTTGTCCGAGTTTGAGTTGCATGCGGCTAATTGACGTGATCTTCAGCCGTCGTGCCAACCCCGGGCTGCGGGCTATTTGGACCGATCCGGAAACCGGTAGCCAGTATAATGTGATCCTCTACCCCGAGCGTGTGGCTTTGCCTGAGGAAAGCAACGCGGCGACGCGATTGTGAGAAATTGGTTCAAGGGCCGGCTGCCGATGGTTGTTGTTTCTACAGCTTCGGCGTATATATCTTTACACACACTTTGTTACTTGGAAGGTTGAAATTCATGGCTTTCTCTCTCGGCGCATACGCAGTAGTATAGGATCGTAATCACGAGAGTTGTCGACCCCCGGATACCATGAGACATTAACCGGAGCAAGAGAGCATAGTAAAGAACATTTTTTGAGAACGCTGTAGCATCCGCGCAATCGAGATTCCTTCTAGAAGCCTCCAACCGTGATAATTTGACTCTCCCGCGCGGCCAGACACCTGTGAGCACATTGTGTCAAAAGCGCTGGCCTAGAACTTACTAGAAAACCTCTTTGTGTATTGATGATGGAGACAGAACGGCGCAGGTGCATCGAGGTCTCATCTGGATGGTCACCAAGAGCGGTGTTGTTGACATAAATAGCGTGCTTCTCCAAAGCAAACCATCCAGACCACCACCACCAGAAGAGTTCTAACCATCCAAATTGAATTTCGCTTGAAATATCGCACGAGAACACCGAAAAGTCGATCTTATAAGAGGGCTGTATCATTAGACCGAAAGAAAAATGATCCAGAAAGGCCCAGCTGCGCAAAGCCTCTCCATGTCCTCATTATCCTCCTGTGAAAATATTTTGTCAGAAACGCTGGCTGACGGACGCTGAAACTTACACAAAAAACTATCGGGTTTGTGTGACTCGTTTGGAGCGTCACAGCGGCGTGTTGTGGGCGGAGTTGCTGGGTGGCCTCACCGCCACTCCCGGTCTGGCCGTCGTCCGGATTTTCATTGCTCTCCTCTGAGTAATTAGCTCAAGATGGTTCGCAGCGCCTTTTATTGTTCTGTGATGTCTGAGTGCACTTGTTGGGCGTGTTGAGTTTGTTCTGAGGGGTATTGGTGGATCTCGTGGCCGCGCGCTTCTTTAAACTTTTGGTAGCTGATGGAGTTGGCGAGTAGCGGAAGATGATGTGCAATACGAATGGCTTCTTTTTTTCTCTGGGAATGTTCTGGGTGCTCTTGGGCTCTGCTTGTTGTTCGGGCTCCGCTTGTTGTTCGGGCTCCGCTTGTTGTTCGGGCTCTATTTGTTGTTCGTGCTCTTTCTACATTTGATCATCTGTTCGTCTGAGAGACTGCGCATCTCGAATTTTCTTATCCTTGGCCCAGAGCAGCTCTGGAGGCCAATACTGTCCACTGAACGTGCCTTGTCTTGTCTGTTGCCGACAACGAGCAAGTGCTGTCCCCCCACAACGCCACACTGTAGAGCTCCAGTCATTGCATCGATGGATGTATTCTGGCATTTGGGAAGCCAAACCTACTTCTCCCAATAGAACGGAACCCGAATATGCAGGTACCTCCATACTCGGAGCCCTGAGAGGCCTTTTGTCAAGTGCCCACTATAGAACGTCCAATACGTGACTTATTCGGCGAGCTGAGCCCACACGAGGTAATGCGCCCCGCTTTCATTGCAGATGCTCTCCATGGCACTATAAGTTTCACCGCCAGAATTCCGAAGTTTGAGTCGCGGGCTTTGGTAGTAAGGCTCCACTTCATCACAGGTGTGCGAAATGATGCGGTTATCTGCGCGAGTTAGCTAGTAGCTTCTAACGGCAGCGGTTTACTTCCATATGGTTGTTGATCAGCATCGAATATGCTGGAAACGGCGCAGCGCACCCTCCAAACTGCAACAGGAGGGTGGGTACATCAGGCGTTCAAAGCCAGCTTGAACATCACAAGTGTACATAGCTTAATGGCAGAGCATGCTCGCTGTCTTGTATTTGCCCAACATAGCGGGGATACAAGGGAGCCGATGAGCAAGATCCGGGTTCGAATCGCGGTGTACACCTTATCTTTTTGTTTTCTTTTCTATTTCATTGCAGACAAGTCACTCGACTTTTTCTCCAAAAACCAAGGCGTCCGGGAGCCTCTTGCGCATCCCTTATTACTCGTCGTTCATCTCAACTACACGCTTTTCTCTCGCAGAATCAAGGAAAACTAGATCTCGGAAAAAAATGGTACTTCCCCTCCACCTGGGCAAGGAAGACCGCGTTTGTTCGCAGGGCTAAGACGTCGTCGTGCAGGATACTTTGGTCGTGGTTTTTATCGTCAGTACCGCTGCTATGGCGCTTGCCGGCATCGGAGTGGCCGTCTACCACAGCTACCGTACCAACCCCGGCTTCAAGTTCGGGATGTGGTAGGTCAACTTTCGGATTTGAGATGCTGGAATTGCTGCGCAGGCCGCTTGGGGAGCCGGGCGTTTTTGTTTTTGTCACATGGTTTTCAATGGATTTTTGTTTCAGCTTCAACAGCACGTGGAGAGCTGAGGCTGCCCGTAAACAAAGCGGCCATGGAGCCTGTCGCTGTAGAGTTCCAGCGATCGATACAGCCAGTGGGGAGTTCGCTTGCCACACAGCCAGTGCCAACCCAAGCCGAGGGAGGACCAAGTGATTCCCAGTGAAGCTGGAAGGCAGCGACCGTAGTTCAGGGCTTTGGAAAGGTACAAAACTACCCACTTAACCAAGTACCTTGAATGGGTTTGGGGTTTAGAGTGCACTACAGACCTTTATTTTCCGCCCACAAAGAGGCCAACATCATCGCTAGCAGCACCGACGAGCTGTGTTTGCCAACCTCGCTACTGCGCTGAAGGCTTTCAACAACTCCTTCATCAAGGTTTTAAGGTCGATGAGTCCCCTCAACGTTAACCTCGCTGGTTCGCACCCACAACCAACCTTTCACAACCTATGGCTTCCTATCTGTTTCCCCATCACTGGCTCCTCTCCCTGGCGTCACTCATACACCCAACCTTACAAGCGCCCGGTGTTAATGCAAAGTCTGACCGAAGTCGACGATGACGACCAGGGGCCCCGAGGCTGATAGAAATCGACGATGACGACCAGGGGCCCCGAGGCTGATAGAAATCGACGACGATGACCAGGGGCCCCGTGCAGCGTCCGCCAAACCTATCGGGCCCCTGCGGTTATCACTGCATCTTGGATGGTATGCGATACTTCCCTGACGATGTACGGGCTGTCAGCTGACGGTAATGCAATGCACAGAACCACAACAGGTTCAGATGATGGAGCGCCTGCAGGGCATTGCCACCGCATTCAACGAGCAGGCCAAGGTTGCGGTCTGTGCGAGTCTGGAAGAAATGCAGACGGCAACAGTCCGAAATGCAGCAGGCACAGGCTTCAGCTGAAGGACCGAGAGCAACAACGGTTGCGCGCTCGACGGGGCCGCAATCAACGTCAATCATCGTCATGATGATCCGGGTTTTTTTTCGGGTTGCGCGTTGCTGGTGGGGGTCGGCGAGATCGAATATGCCGCAATTGCCGATTCTCCCATTGTGGCGTTGTGTCACTGAACCCGCTACCGATAGTGTCACTGAACCCGCTACCGATAGTGCCACTGAACCCGCTACCGATAGTGCCACTGACCCTGGACTTCAACCGGGGCTTGGTTCGGTTTCATAGCTTTGTTGTTTATTTAGGCTTTAAAACAGAACGGCTTGACCCGCCGTAATGCTTTTTTTTTTTCGCTTTCCAGTGATAAGCCACAAGCAGAAGTTGTTGCATGAAGTCCGTGATTTTTGCTTCTGTCGGTTTCGGCGCATATATGCTTCTTATAGAGCGGTGTGGCAGCTTCGTGGCTGGTTTGTCATGCCCTGCGGATATGTTCCTTGTGCTAGAGGAAACGACTCTGCGCTGCATTTTTTCCTCAATTCTGAGTTCGGGACTATACAGCTCAGGGTTGAATCAAACGCCCTGCACACTGCGATTTCCAGCACAAAAAAAAAAACAGCATTCCACCACACTGACAAAAGACAGTTGAACCAGAGGCCGTAGATCTACACGCGCACAGCCGCCTCCTCAATCCCCCTCGTAGAAACCAACGCCTCCCTCATCCTCTGCCTGGCGAGCACCCATAGCCACAATCCAATCGTAAATAGTGGTCTGCAGATCGCCATCATCATCATCGTTAGTCCCAGCAAGTAAGCCTCGAGGGGAGCAAGTTACCATCGCCCAATACAGAAGCGACCAGAGGATGGCATTGGCGGCGATCACGACCAGCAGCGGGCCCAGCCAAACCACGTAGACGACGCCAAAAGCGTTGATGAAACAAATGAAGATCGCGATCGCATAATCTGGATCCATTGTGGTTGGTTTGGTCCGGGTGTGCTAAGTTGGGGGTGGTGGGTGAATTTTTTGAGGGTGGACCCTTAATTGAACGCTGGGCGTCTTCAGCTGGGACTTCGGGCGGAAAACATTTCTCACGACGAAAAAGGGTAAATACTTGCCTTCCAACCACGACCACGTGCACTCGATACCGAGACCCCCCGCCCCCGGGGCTCCACCTAGATGTTCTCTTGATCAGGTCCGTATCTTTATCCACCGAAATTCCGACTCCTAGTCCTTCGGAATCGGGAGGACCTCATGAGGAACGAGTGATATTTCGAGGGGCAGTGATCTCTGCCGCTTTAGGTAACCATACGCGAGACCGCCAGAACAAAATCAAGTCACAGGTTAAGAAATAACCCCTGAGGTACGCCTTTCTGCATTATTTTGCTTCTGACGAAGGCTGATTCCTAACGGGCACGCTGATGACAATTATCGGCTAGACAACTGCTCCAGCGCAGCCCTTTTTTTTTAACTCTACGGCACCCATCGGATTCGTTCCAGAGCGACGTACAGCAGCCGGATTCTACAGGTGGTGGAAGTAGAGGATCCAGCAGACTGAAGGGCAGCGGAACCACAGCTCGATCACCGCCAAACGCGCCAAAGCAGACAGCGTCAATTTTAAGCGCAGAGAAAAGGAGGGCTACCGGCGTTATCTTCAAGTTGTTAAGGCTTCAGCAACCACCTTTGCTTATGCAGATCCGAAACCAACCAACGGAAGGAACCAAAACTTACGTCAGGATTACGGCATCTTCGTCTCGGGGCTGCACTGCACAACTGGTCGTTTCGGCTGTTCTCTTTAGTTACTGCTAACGGAGTGGATGCTTCTCCGAGTAATCTCCGATCAAACTCTTCATCCAAGCACACTTTCAAAGACGCTACCTCGCCATTCCTCCGCCTCTCTCGGACAGGTAAACCGCCACAGTTCCTTGATAATGTCTACAATCACGCCCTATGAGGACCTTTGAATATGTGTTTGGGCAGAAAAGGCGGCTACTGTGTGCCAGAGTGGGTGCCATAGCTGCTGCTTAACTTACAAGCAGATCCATGGGAAATCCATTCGAGAAGGTTGAATTTGCTTCGCACGGCTGAAATTCACAACGCAGGCAATACTTGAGGCGGAAAGAAATAACTGCTCTTCCATGATGGCAAACAGAACTAACTGGACAGAAGCCCTCTGCTACTTCTAAGCCTGGACGATCGTCGTCACCTCTGGAGCCACTGCGTTCAATACTTCCACCACCTCATTCCAAACCCGCTTCTGCAACTCCGCACCTTTCTCGCCTTCCGCCATTCGCCCTGCCTTATGGATCTTACAAGACTGGGTATACAGTCCGTGAAGTCCCGGCCCCGCCCCACCAGCACGAACGATGGTCCTAGGCCCTTGCTCCACCGTCCTGGCAAAGACCCACTCCATGAGCCTAAAGAACAAGTCGAGCTCTCCCTTATTCTCTCGCCTTAACTCATTACCAAACCGGGATCGACATTGACGACTGTTACCTCCTCAGCCGCTGGCCAATTCCCGACTAACATAGATCGTCAACAGCTTCGAGGCTGGATACATTTCGAACGGATCCTTTTTAATCTTGAGGCCTTCTTCGGTGTGTTTAGAGCATTCGTGATGTTGGCTTGCGATTGCTCTGGCAACATCACACCATGGTTCGCGCTTGAGCCGGTAAAGGTGATCTTCTTCCCTCGGCCACCACGCATCACGGGCAGCAAAAGCAGCCCAAGCATTTAGATCCGGAACGAACCAAAGCGAGATTCCGGACTCGATTCTGCGATGATACGATTACCTAGAGCTACAGCTCGGATCGAGTGTATCTAGTGGTTCGACAACTTACGACCAGGCGGCAAGGCGACTGCTCGGGACAAGTCTTTTGCGAAGCGGGAAGCCGAGTGACCAGCTGTGCTTTTTCTTCCGCCGCGTCTAGACGGCTGACCGGCCGGGCAGTTGGAAACCCAGCAGGAATAGCCCTTCGCGCATGGGACTGGTATGGTAATAGAGTTGTCCTGAGTGGGGTAGCGTGGATGTCTCTCAAAGTTACAGCTTTGGGCCCTCCCACCATCTGAAAAGAAATGCTCTCTTGCAGTTTGTAACCCCCATACTCCTCAGGACTCAAGTAATCCGCCTCACTAGCAACTTCGGAGTTCCAACATAAGGCTTTCCTCTCCTCATCCGCCCTCATTTTTTTTCCAATATTCTTCGATGTAGCTTGTCAGTCGGTAGTCAGAGAAGGGAAAACGTCTAGTGAGCTGGTTGGGGAGGCGAATAAGTTGAACCCCCACACGCCGATACAACCCACCCAAACGCAAGCCACTACCGGGAAAATGGCATCAACGGCAGACGCCGAGGCTCAACTGTAAGTCATTACAGGCATATAGTGGCGTAGCGAGCTACTGAAAGTGACCGAAGCCGCGCCAAAACGTCGTTTGAGTCGATCATCTAGGAGAAGGAGAAGGAGAAGGAGAAGGAGAAGGAGAAGGCGAAGGAGAAGGAGAAGGAGAAGGAGGAGGAGGAGGAGGCGGAGAAAAAAGACAAGAACGAAGAGGATGATGCCTAGTAGAGGGGAGGGGAGATGTTTGTACCAAGCCAAGGTAAATGAGCATGCTGCTGCCGAATGCCCACGTTAACTACTCAGTGTTTAGGAAACAAACGGTGAAGAGTGTT